CTCTCCCCAAGTTCCATGCAGGGTGACAGGCAGGGAGGACCCGGCACAGCAGGGTAGCCTGGGGACTTCAGCTCTGACAGTCATCACCTTTCCCACAGTCTCTCCCCAAAACCTCATTCACCTGAACAGTGGACCAGATTCGGGACCTGAACAAAATGCCCCTTAACAGGACCAGGTGCCTGCAGCCAAAGCCCTCCGTGTCAGAGGGCGCCAGTCGGGCCAGCCACCCGAGGCCCTGCCAGGCTAACGACGTCTCTACCCCAAGCAAAGCGCAGCTCCCTGGCCCCTCCACCTCGCCCGGGGCTGCCAGTTCCTGGGGCTGCTTTCAGGGTCTCTGGGGAGCACCTCTGGGGTTCGGGAGGGCGTGAGGTCTCACAGGAAACAAGATGGCCACTTCCCAATGGCCATCCCCAAGGAAGGAACGAGAAGGATGGCAGTGGCCTTGGGGTTCAGGTGGAATGGAGGGTAAGGGGCTCAGAGGCAAGGGCAAGGGCTGGGGCGCCCCGTCACTGCCGTCAGCAGCAGATGGACCCAGCTGCTTTGGAGTCAGAGGCCCAGCTGTGCCCTCGGTTCTGTGAAGCAAACTTTCACTCACTCAAGTCCCCTTTGGGAGTGTTCTGCATTTTCTTCCCCAGCCCTGGGGATGAGGAGGGGACCGCTATTTCCTGAGGCATCTCGGGGCAGGCCCAGCCTTTGCATGCTCCTTTTCCAGCAACGGATGGTCTGGTTGCCTGGAGAGCAGACACTGGGAGCGCTGGAGTGGGAGCTGTGCAGGGACGAGGGCGGATTATTTGATCCAAATGTTTCTCCCCCAGCCTCTCAGCCCTGAGTCACTAAAGCACGGGATGGTGGCAGTGGGGGTGGGGGGGTGTTAACCAACCTTTCTAGAAACTCCTCTGAGTCAGCTCACCCACCAAGCCTTTGGTGATCAGCTGAGCATCCAGGCCATGGGCACAGCTGTCCTAGTCCAAACAGGAAGCACCCTCGGCGGAGCGGGGAATGTGAAAGCCAGCCCCCTGACTTTAGGGCACAGCTTCTATGGTATATGGATTTCTTAGGAAAGGTCCCGTAACTTCAGCATGTCTAGCAGTGGCGGCTGCATATGCTCGCCTTCGTGGCAAGTCCTGGGCAGCCTGCCCCCCAAGGCTGTAGGGGAGAGCCCCAGTGCAGCCCCACGAGGCCCAGCGTCCAGAGCAGCGACACGGTTGCAGGGCCAGTGGCCTCCTTCCAGGAGGGACTCTGCTGCTGTCAAGGCTGAAAAGGTGCAGAGGGGCAGCTGGGCCCAGAGCAGGGCGGGCAGGCCTGGCTGGCGACAGCAGGACCCTCCCAGCTCACTCACCATGACTTGAAAGTGCACAGATAGGAGGGCCCTTGGAGATCACATGGTCCCACCTCTCCCCCCAAAAGTACAGACCTGGAAATGGAGACCCAGAGATGGGGCAGGGACCTGGGCTCCAGAGGCAAAGCTGCTGCCCTTGTCTCTTCCAGGGGTAATGACTCAGGGGAATTCAGCGCTGCCGCAGACACAGCCAGGCAGCCAGCGGAGCTGCTGGCATCCCAGCCCTCCCTGGCCGCACATTATCCTGCACCCCGTTGATGCTCACATCCTCCTGCCGGGTCTCAGCCTCTCCTCCACTGCAGGCAGGAGGCCAGGTGCACACCTCCGATGGCTGCCTCCCCTTCCCCTCCCCTCCCCACGCAATCTTCCGCATTCACGCTGGCTCGTTCAGGTTCTAGGCTTCCGAACTCAACCAGCCTGAGCCCCATCCTACTTTGCCACCACACTATTGTGCCACCACCAGGGAGCCACGACCTCAGTTTCCCAGGCTGTAACATGGGGACAATCTCCTCAGACTTCCAGAACTGCTGTAAGGATAAAACGAGGTCCTTGGTGCCAATGGGTGTGACCTGTGGTACAGAGGAGAAAGCTAACGGGACCTGGTGACAATACCCGCTCCCTACTTGCTCCCAGCCCCTCCCCCAACATCCTGGCTCCACCCCTTCCAGGCACTGAGGCTCAAATGCTATTACTAGTAGCCAGAATCTGACACATGAGAATAAGAGGACACACTGCAGGGGAACCCGGGGTGGGGGCGGAATTGGCAGCCCTGTCAGCCAGACTTTATACCTTCTCCACTGTGGGAGCAGGAGATGGCTCTGGGGACCTCAGTGGGCCCCTTGGCTGGGGTGCCAGTGCAGATTCTGCGGAGAAACCGTCCCCCTAACCCAGGCCCAGCCTAGTTCAGGGCCCCCAACCTCACTCCGGCGGCCCAAGCTCCGAAGTCCCCACTCAGTAGCGCCATTGGGGACCGGGGAGCGCAGGGCGCGTCGTGCAGGACGGGCGAAGAGGGCAGAAGCTTGCAGGTGGGAGGAAGGCGGGCGGGGGCATGGGAGGTGGAGGGAGACGCCGGGAAGGCCGCGGCCCCTCCCCGCTCCCTCCCTGCGCGCCGCCAGCTACATTGCCCCTCCTGGGCAGGGGGCGGAGAAGACGGCGACGGGAGGGGAGGAGGCGGAGGAGGTGGCGGAGGCGGCGGCGGCGGCGGGGGCGGGATTTGGAGTTTCCCTCCGCAGCGACGGCGGCTGCCCCTCAGCTCCTGGCAAGGCCGCCGCCCGGGGTTCCGGTGTGGCGCTTCCCGCCGCCCGAGCTTCAGAAACTTCCCGGCCGCGACGCAGGGAACAGGCTCAGAGAACCGAGCGGAGCAGAGGTGAGTGGAGCACGCGACGTCCCGGGGACCCCCACCCCACCCCCACCCCACCCGGCCTGGCTGACCTCCCCCCCGACGTGCACCCCCCTCCACCCTGCACCCCCAAAGTCCTGACAACGCACTCCCCACGAAGCCGGCGCACGCGCCCCTAGGAGACCCATTGGGTGCTGCTGCCGCACACCCGTGCACCCCGCCCGTGCACCTCCCGTGTCCGCTGCCACTTAGACCGGCTGCACACTCGCGCGCGCACAAACCACGCACCACAGAGCCGGGTCCCTGTAATGCACACACTAGCAGCCCCTGAGCCACTACTCACCACTGTCCCCAACTCCTGCCAACCCACCGAGACCCTGCCACGCCCCAGTACACACCCAGGCGCACACGCACGCTTCCAACACATCTCTGCGATACCTGCACTAACATAGCTCCCCCTACCATGCCCTTGCCACCTTGAACTCTCCATATCCCATGACAGACACCCCACCCAGGTTCCCAGCCCAGAGACACTGCAGTCCACCCACCGGGACCGAGATCCCATCACAAATCCACATCCCAGCGGCCGACACTCCCCACTTCCCAGGCACACACCTCCAGCATCTCCGGCGCGCACTCTCATCCGCCCCAGCACGCGCGCACACCTGCTGGATTCACGCTCTCCAGCACCCTACCCGGCCCCCATCACAAATACCCATCGACACCCCCAGCACATCTCTGAGTCCCTCCCTCCCAGCACCTGGCACGCGGGCTCTAGAGGCTGCAGCATTTGGTGGCATCCCTGCCAGGCACCTCTGGCTCTCCTTCGGCAGCGGCTCATCAGCCTTGGGCCCCCCAGGTGTCTCCCTAAACAGACCTTGAGACTCCCCAGCGACTGGCTTGGCCTCTTCCCTAAGAGATAAAGAAGGCACTTGGGGTGCAAGGTAGGGTACTTAGATGTGGAGGCAAGGGGCCGGGGGGAGGGGCGGGGAGGAGGCGGAGAGAGCCCGCCGCTGAAATGGAGGCGGCCCAGGTGGGACCAAAGAGGCGCCAGCTGCCCGACCAACACGTAGTAGGTGGGTTCCATGCGGGCTGGCGTCCGCGCGCGCGCGCTGTCTGGGTGCCGGCCTGCGTGTGTGTTACGGGGAGAGCTGTAGGTGCACGTGTGCTTGTGCGTGTCGGGGTGGGGGAGGAGTGTGTGATCGGCAGAAGGAAAAGCAGGAGCAGCTCCCTCAGGCAACAATTGGTTTCATTCATTCATGCCTTCTTTGTTAACGAGCATTTCTTCTGCGAGCGCCAGGCGCGTGCCAGGCCCTGCACTGGGGGCTGGGGCCAGCTTGGGGCCGGGCACACACACGTTCCTGCCTTGGAGGAACTCCCAGTCCCGCGAGGAGACCGACCAGGAAAAGCAGAAAGCCATCCCCAGCAGAAAGTGGATTTGATGGAAAAGACACTGGATTTGGCAGACACGCTGTCGCTGGGACTTGTGCTCTTGGCCATGTGACCCGGCCGCGACAGCCGAAATCCTGCCACTCGGCCCGGCGGGAACGGTGCATTTCGGGGTGGGAAGGCAGCGCCGCGCCGCGCCGCGCCGCGCCGCTCTCGGGAGGCCCCCGGGACCAGAGGGCGCACGCGGCACTCGCGAGGCCTGCAGACGGCGGCTTCCCCGCGGCCTCCAGGGGGCGCTGGCCCGGCCGGGCGGAGGCCCGGGACGCCCGGCGGGGGCGGGGGAGGCGGGCGCAGCGCCCACCCTGCGACGAGCAGCGAGCGCGCGGCCTGGCTCCGCCCGCCGGAGGGGGCCAGGAGAGGCCCGGGCGCGCGACGCGGCCTCCCCCGGCACAGCCCACCCGGGAGCGGCTGCGGGACTCGGCGGCGCCCAGAGCTGGCGCTGCTGGTGGCCTGAGTGGGGGCAGTCAGGAGAGGGTCGCCGGTGAGAGGGGGTTAGGAGGTTGGCTGCGCTCGGCCCTGCAGTGCGGAGGCGGCAACAGGTTCCCATTTGTCCTGTTGCTGGCGCTGTGGGCGCTGTGGGCCCTGAACTCTGACTTTGGAGATTGAGCCCCTCATGGCCTCCTCATGAGCCCCTTATGTCCCCCTCCCAAATGCTTTCTCCCGGTGGGAGGGCTTGCCAGCACGGCTCCGCAGTTAGGTTCAGGGAGCTCCTCGCCAGGGACTCTGGGATCCTGGGATTCCCCTCCCTTCCCCATTTCGGAGGTTGCCTCTCTTCATCCCCATCCTAGCCCAGCTCCTCTCACCTCCAGGGAGCCCTCTCCAGAGCGGCCTAAGCACCTCTCCAGCCAGATTGAGCTGGGGCGGGGGGTGGGGGGGGTGGGGGAACACGGCTGTCCAGCTCCCTGCTGCTCACAGCCCTGTGCCACCTCCACTAGCCACAACCAGACTGGCACATGGCAGAACCTCGGTGGTGCCTTCAACCCCTGCCCACTCTGAGCTCCCACTCACAGCTGCAATGGGCCTGGAGGCAGCCCCCGGGCTGGACACCAGTATCCACCTCCACCACTGTGGGCTAGGCTGAGATAGGAGGAGGTAGAAGACAGAAGACAAAGTTCCTGCCCGAGGAACACACTGAGAAAGGGGGACAGTGACCACACTGGGGAGCACAAAGGAGGGAGACCACTGGCTCCGAGTTGGGAAGGCTGTCTGGAGGAGGGGGCCTGAAGAAAGAAGCAGAATCTCAGAACCTGGGCAGGGGGCATAGGAGGGAGGCCTGGGCTGGGGCCCATGCCCACTGGGCAAGAGGAGAAGGAAGGGCACAGTCCAGCTGCCCAAAGCCCCTGGATGCACGAATTAGGACTCATCTTAGAGACAGGGAGGGACATGGGGATGTGGCCAGACAGCAGCCCAGTGCTAGGGTCCTGGGAGTCCCCGGCTAGCCGCCCACTGCGCAGAAGGGAGGGGGAGGGGAAGCTGGAAGCCCCTTAGAGGTGATCTCCATCTGGCCGTGCGGGATATCTAGGCCTCCAACGGCACCCCTCACACTCACCCACCCACCCCCAGCTTTCCATCACCTGCCCTCTTCCCTACCCATGACCTCAGACATTTTCTCCTCTGACTCCATGGCTCCTGAGAGGAGTCTCTGGCCAGACCTGCGGACCGACTGGCCGTAATGATTCCCACTGTGGGACTCGCAGTGCGCGTTCCATTTTCCACTCCTTAGAGAAATGTGTTGTAGTGCCCATCCTCATGTGCATAACTTTGATTTCTTTTACTTTAGTTCCTTAGATTCCCAAAAGTGGTCAAAGGGTTGGGATTTTTTCCCAGCTCTTGATATAGCCAGATTAATTTCCAAAAAGGCCATACCAATATATAACCCTGCAACGGTTGAACAGCACGTTGATGTCACAGCAATTTTACCAGCACTGGGTGTTCTCAAACCTGAGGACATTTCTAGCACAGAAGGTGGGAAGTGTTACCTCGCTGGTCGTTGTTACTTGTTTTTGGGAGTTGCTTTCCTTCCACGCCTGAGGTTGAACCTTCCCCCAAATATTTGTAAGGCCGCCGCATTCCCTCCTTCCTGAGTATGCAGTGTTTTCAGGTTCTTTGCCCATTTATCTACAGGGGTCTTAACCTTTTGGTTGGGTATGAGCTTTATCTTATCTATTGTACATTTTCCTTCAACACTGTTATTTGTTTTTGTTGGGCTTTAAGCAGAGAAGGGACTTTTAGCTAGACCAGTGTTGTGGACACCTCCCCCTGACCCTGGTGTCCTGTCTCGGTGCTCACCACACCTGAGACCTTGTGCAGTGCCCTGGCTGCCTGTGGATCTGCCCTCTCTATTGTGCCCATGGAGGAAAGGATGGAGGCCACCAGCCTTGGTTGAGTGGATGGCATTCTGACATTGGGCAGGGCAGGGCAAGGTGGAGGGCAGGTCGCTGCAGGCCCGGAGGCCAGGAGACTGTTGTGCAAGACATGACAGTGACCTGGCCTAGAGCTGATGAATTTGAGCCCTTGACTGGGGCAGGGGACAGGAGAGAGAGGCGTGGATGTGAGAGATATTTAGCTGGAAACTACTTCTCTCCACTTTGATCAGCTAAGTGGGGAGCCAGGGGTCACTCTTAGGATCAGGAATGTGATAAGAGCAGAGTACCTCAGTTTAGGGCTGGGAGCTCAGGGCTCCTGGGTGCTTTTGGTCAGTGCTGTGTGAGTGAAGCGGGCTGGGGTGGGAGGTGCCCAGGAGCTGCCCCTGCCTGTCTAGCCCTGCAGCAGAGCTCTGGGCCAAAGCTGCAGAAAGTTTCTGGTCCTGCTTCCTCCTTCCCTGGGCCATTTCAGTGGCATCCCATGTTTGGCCATGCTGGTAGCTATGAGCCCATTACAGAGGTGGTGCCACTGAGATCCAGGCAGGGGAGAAGATGGTCCAGTATCACCGAGTGAGTTGGGTTGGAGGCAGCTTCTGCGGCAGGGGGGGCTGGGCTCTTGTCCCCACCCCTCCCCCTGCCTCCCGAGGCCAGGCTGGCGCCGGCCAGGGGAGCCGCAGCTGGTCCCCTGCTGGGCCCCTGACCTGCCCTTGGCCTCTGCCCCGACCCCGTCCCGCCTCGGTGGAAGCCCCAGCTCAGCCTACTCGCGGGTCCCACCCGACTGCTTCCTTCGGCTAGCACCCGTTGGCTCACCGGCCCCCAGGCCCGCCCCCGCAGCCCCGCCCCGGCCCGCCCCTCGGAGTTGTAACTCCACGTCCCAAGGCTGTCTCCAAGGTGGAAGCTGGGTCCAGCTGCCAGGAAGCGGCCGCTGAGCGGGCGCGCGGGGCTCGGCTTCCACGTGCGAGCCTGCACCGCCGCCCCGCCTTCTCCTAGCGGCCGGGCCTAGGGACTCCGTGCCCCGGAACGGCGCCCCCCGTTCCGCCGTGGCAGTGGCCGTGACCAGAACGTCTACGCGCGGTCGCCTACCGCCGGATCGTGCTCCAGGTCTCTCTCCTTTTGTTCTCTCCTGAGGGTGGGGGGAGATGGGGCACCGGGGGCCAGGTCACCTCTGAGAGGACTCGCCGAGGCCCAGCACCTCTGCTCCGCCTCTGTTCCCCTGGCCCACCTGGCCGTGGGGGAGATCTGGGTCTTGAACGGCACCCCCTACACTCACAGCCCCCCACCACCAAAGTCGGAAGCTGGAACTTGGGGAGCGATCGCGGGAAGGCCGAGAGAGGAGCAGAAAGGGGATATGGAGGGACACAGCTGCGGCCTCGGGGTACCCCAAGATGAGCCTCGAAGGGGCGGCTAGACGCTCAACCCTTTTCTGGAGGACCTTTCCCTGTGCTGAGCGGCTGCCTCGGGGGTTTTCTTGGGGCACCTTGTTGGGAATCCTCGCGATGGGGGACCCTGGGCTCCCGCCTTCAGGACGCCGGGCCGGCTTCCTGTCTGCGCCCCCTCGGCCCTCCGGGAGCTCACACTGCGCCTTCCCTCTCTCCGCAGTGCCCGCGGCCCGACGTGTCAGAAGCCGAGCGCCGATGGAGGGCCTGGGGCGCTCGTGCCTGTGGCTGCGCCGGGAGCTGTCGCCCCCGCGGCCGCAGCTGCTGCTCCTGGACTGCCGCAGCCGCGAGCTGTACGAGTCCGCGCGCATCGGTGGGGCGCTGAGCGTGGCCCTACCCGCGCTGCTGCTGCGCCGCCTGCGGAGGGGCAGCCTGTCGGTGCGCGCGCTCCTGCCGGGACCGCCGCTCCAGCCGCCCCCGCCTGCCCCCGTACTCCTGTACGACCAGGGTGGGGGCCGGCGCCGGCGCGGGGAGGCCGAGGCTGAAACGGAGGAGTGGGAAGCCGAGTCAGTGCTGGGTACCCTGCTGCAGAAGCTGCGGGAGGAAGGCTACTTGGCCTACTACCTCCAGGGTAGGTGCCGCGGGGGCCCCCCTTCCCAGGCGGTTCCGGATTCCTTTGACCTTAGGCGAGCCCTACCTCTTGTTTTCCAAAGCGGGTTGAGGCCCCCCTCCCCTAATGACCTGCCAGGCTGCTCTGAGAGGAGGGGAGCCCCGAGTGTGACCTCCGGCAGGTTCTTCACTCTGAAGCCCCAGTCTCTAAGTCTGGAAAATGGGGAGTTGGCTTGACCTGAGCTAGTTCCCAGGATGCTCAAAAGGGAAGGACAAAGTGCGGGCTCTCCCCGGTCTCTGCAATAAGCGAGGGAGGCAGGGGTCGGACAGCAGCAGGGCAGGGGTGGGGGGCTGGGCAGGGAATCAAGGCAGGGGAGGCAGGCTGAACAGGCCCAGGGCAGAGACAGGGTTCTCATGAATCCAGAGCCAGCCGTCGCCAAGAAAGGTCCACTGGACTGTATTAGGGACCTATCAAGTTTCAGCTTTCCAGCCGGGGAAAAGAGTGGTGTCTGTAAACAGAGGTTCTGGGTTCTTGGGACTTTAGAGCCATTCTGGTGGAATGTTCCATTCTCCCCCAAGCTCCTCACATCCTGGGGTTCCACTTCATCTCTGAGGGTACTCAGAAGACGCCCAGGCAGAGAACTGACATCTGGGATCTTCCTCGTCTTTAACCGATGGCCACAGTCCTCCCTGAGGCTAGCAGTACATGTAGACTCTGTTAAGCCCTCACACCGGCCTCAGCTTGACCCTAGGGGTGTAAGATCCTCTTTGGTGGCTCAGCGTGAGCCCAGCTTGTTGCAGCCCCAGCAGCTGCAGTGGACACTTGCTCTCCAGAGCAGTGGCCAAGAGTTCTCACTGAGGGTGGCTAGGGCCCCATGTGGGCACCAGGACACACCAAGCTGCTGGCTTTTGTGTGCCCTTTGGGAACATTTGCAAACCCCCTGAATTGTCTAGGGTCAGCTCCCCAGCCCCGGACAGAGGCACTTGGCTGCCCAGGAGGACAGGTCAGCAGGCCCCATGACCTCTCCCCGACAGGTGGCTTCAGCAGATTCCAGGCCGAGTGCCCTCATCTGTGTGAGACCAGCCTGAGTGGCCGTGCCAGCTCCAGCTTGGCCCCGCTGCCCAGTCCAGCCCCCGTGGTGGGGCTGGGCAGCCTGTGCCTGGGCTCCGACTGCTCTGATGCGGAATCCGAGGCTGACCGCGACTCCATGAGCTGTGGCCTGGATTCGGAGGGTGTCACACCCCCCACAGTGGGCCTGCGGGCATCCTTCCCTGTCCAGATCCTGCCCAATCTCTACCTGGGCAGCGCCCGGGATTCAGCCAACTTGGAAAGCCTGGCCAAACTGGGCATTCGCTACATCCTCAATGTCACCCCCAACCTCCCAAACTTCTTCGAGAAGAATGGTGACTTTCACTACAAGCAGATCCCCATCTCCGACCACTGGAGCCAGAACCTGTCGCAGTTCTTTCCGGAGGCCATTGCATTCATCGGTGAGTCCACCCCACCCACCTTCCCACCTCTCCGTCCCCACCTTTCCACCTCTCCGCCCCCCACCTCTCCACCTCTCCGTCCCCCACCTCTCCACCTCTCCGTCCCCCACCTCTCCACCCCTCCGTCCCCCACCTCTCCACCCCTCCGTCCCCCATCTCTCCACCACTCCGCCCCCCCACCTCTCCGAACTGCAACCTCTCTGCCCCCTCCACCTCCCCGCCCGCAGGCCGGCTCCTGGCCTCCCCCTCGTGATCATTCCTCCCAAGTGCAGCTGCCATTCCCAGAGCCCAAAGCAAGGGTGGCACTTCCAGGGAACAGGTAGAACTCAGGGCGGCCCCCAGAGGCCACCAGTGAAACCTCCAGGCCGTGGCCATCTGACTCAAGGGCAGGGCGGGGACTTTGAGGGCCCGTCGGAAGGCTTCGGTCTCACACACACCTGCACTCGGGGTCTCCCCGGCCCTGTCCTGCTCCACCTAGATGAAGCCTTGTCTCAGAACTGCGGGGTGCTCGTCCACTGCCTAGCGGGGGTCAGCCGCTCTGTCACCGTCACTGTGGCCTACCTCATGCAGAAGCTCCACCTCTCTCTCAACGATGCCTATGACCTGGTGAAGAGGAAGAAGTCTAACATCTCCCCCAACTTCAACTTCATGGGGCAGTTGCTGGACTTCGAGCGCAGCCTGCGGCTGGAGGAGCGCCGATCGCAGGAGCAGGCCACCGGGGAGCAGGCGTCCGCGACCTCCGACCCGCCCTCCTTCTTCACCACCCCCACCAGCGATGGCGCCTTCGAGCTGGCCCCCACCTAGGGCACCGTAGCAAGCAGGCTGGCCCCTGCCCCACCTCCACCCATGGGTGTCCCTGGTCACCCGTGAGGCGAGGGAGGGGAGGGTGGGAGGGCTCGGCCTGAGCAGGGGGCTGGGGGGAGAGCGCAATACCTCACGCGGGCTGGCGTCCTAATCAACGTGCCTACGGCAGGACCACGCTTTGAGCCTGCCTCTTCTGCGACTGTTACTCTTTTCTTTGCGGGATGGGAGTGGGGTTCCTCTCCAGGTGACTGTCCAGGCGCTGGCCCCAGCCCTGGGTGCTCAGCCAGCTCGGCTGGGCCTTGTGCCCCCCTGTGCTTCCCTCTTCTGGAAGGGGGTGTGCCACCTCGTTGCCACAGGGACTGCCTCCCAGTTCCTTCCCTGTCCTCAAATGGCCACTTGGAGGAGGAGGAGTTTGCCATCACTGGTGTTGTCACCTCCCTGCCTCTCCACCAAGGGCTTGGGGTTCTCAGGGCTGGGGCCTCTCAGGGCATCCATGGCCTGGGAGCCACTGGGCAGTTCCTGGCCACACATCTGGTGTGCTGTTGTTTTTTTTTTTTTTTTTTCCCCTCTTCCCCCAGATGTCTTGACAGGATCACTGGTGCTCTTTGTGAGTGAGGGTGGTCATACTGCCGCCGGAGGAGACGGGGTCTCAGAGCGGGATCTGGGAAGGGGGAGGGGAAGAAGAAGGCCTCACTTTTGCTGCTTTGTGGGGCGGGGAAGGGCCTAAGTCATTCACTGATGTCCACACCCCTGCTGGTGGTGGGTGCGCATGGGCGCACATCGGCACTCACGCGCACGCTAGTCCACGGATGCGCCCAACCCAGGGCTGGCAGTCTCGGCGGCGCAGGACCATCTCACCCTGGAGCCTGGAGAGGAGCTATGCTTCTTCATTTTTGTAATCCACCTCATAGTTGCTTTCTTTAATTGTTCCTTCTGAATAAACAGTTTATTTAAGATACTGCGCAGAGGGAAGCTACCTCCTGAGCACCTTGGGGGGTTTAGGGGAAGGTGGGGAAGGACGCCCTCTTGGTCTCTCTGGACTGCCCATGGTAGAAAGGAGTGTGTGCAACCCCACTCCCCCCATGTTATCATTTCCCATCTGGTGCTTGTACTGCCTGCTGGCTGAAGATTTGAGCCACTCTTTCGTGTTCCTCCATTTGAACCCCTAGTCTGTGCCACACACTGTCCTGGGGACTAGGTTGCAGCAGTGAGCCCTGCCTCCTCAGAGCAGGTTTCCCAGAGGGGGAAGAAATTATAAATGCGACAGTCACAGCACTGCAGTGACGACATAGGTGTCCATTGCCGTGGACAGAGTGGATGAGCGAAGACCCAGCACTCATAGCTGATCCCTGAGACACCAGTCAAGTCAGTCCCCAGTCCTACCTAGAGCCTCCCAAGGGCCGCCCCAGTGGATGGCATCCTAAGGGTGACAGGGGAGGGGTGTGGCAGATTGGCACATGTGAGTGTTGTGGTTCTCTGACCGTGGAATTTGGGCCGCAAAGGCCCAGGCTAGGGACTAGAAGAGCCCCACGAAGACCAACGGGCCACCTAAAGGGACAGAGGTGACCTGCACCTCTCCTCAACTTGGGACACTGGCAACACCTTCTCCACACTGTAGCTGGCGGGGTCTCTAAAGCTGTGACTCTCCACCACGGAGATGCAGCAGAGGGGAAGGGCGGCTTGAGGGCGGTGGGAGCAAGTGCGGCCTGAGAAAGCAGTGGAGGCTTTGGGAGCAACATGGCCCACTTATAGCCACGAGCTGAACTGCCCTTTTAGAGCAATCTAGGCATAGAGCAGTAGATACTTCACAACCTCTCTCGGAGGGACTTAGAAACAGTGGTCTGGCCAGGCACAGAGGCTCACGCCTGTAATCCCAACACCTTGGGAGGCCGAAGCAGGTGAATCACCTGAGGTCAGGAGCTCAAGACCAGCCTGGACAACATGGGTAAACCCTTTCTCTACTAAAAATACAAAAAAAAAAAAAAAAATGAGTTGGGCATTATGGCACGTTCTTGTAATCCAAGCTACTTGGGAGGCTGAGGCATGAAAATCACTTGAATCCAGGAGGCAGAGGTTGCAGTGATCTGGGATCTCTCCACTGCACTTCAGCCTGGGTGACAGAGTAAGACTCTGTCTCAAAAAAGAAAAGAAAAGAAACAGTGATCTGGTTGCTGGCGAAGCTGGATTTGTCTTGAAGCTGCATTTGACTATCTTACATACAGATTTAACTTAGATTGTGACAGCCCAATAAACATAGCAAAGTTTAAAATATTAATAAAATACATTTTTAAGTTTTTATTTTAGAAACAAGTTCTCAATATAAAGCTTAAATAGGCTGGGTGTGGTGCCTCAGCTTGCCAAAGCACTGAGATTACAGGAATGAGCCACCGCACCTGGCCTATTTAAGTTCTAAATGAAGTGGTCCAGAGGTCACATTGCTCCAGAGTGACCAGCATAAGCAAATGCAAATCCTCTGTGGAAGGAGGGATGCCCTTTAAACACAGGCCTCAAAGCACTTCCACAGAAAATTCCAAAATATGTAATTTTTTTAAATCCCAAACTGTGCAAGGAAACAAGCCACCATGAGTTATAGAAACATTCAACATGTGAATTCAAGTATCAGTCCTGCAAAGATAGCGGCCTTTGAAATTATGTGACAAAGAATGTAAGTATAATTAATATGTTTAAAGAAATAAAAGGAAGTATTGAAACTGTAAAAACAAAAAACAAACAAACAAAAAAAAGAGAACATAAAATGACTAGGCACCCTTGAAAGAAAACCAAAAAGAATTCCTAGAAACTAAAAATATGATAATCGAAATTGGGCCTTTAAAGTTTAAACAGCATATTAAACATAGCTGAAGAAAGAAATAGTGAACTGGAAGATGAATTTAAGGAAATTACCCAGAATGCAGCACAGAGAGACAATAAGATAGGTCACACATACATCTAGTTGAATTTCTAGAAGAGAAAGGAGAATAGGGAATATAAAATATATTAATAAACAATGTCTGAGAATGTACCAAAACTGATGAAAGACACTGTGGAAGAGATTGCTAAGTGTCCCCCAATATCCATTCTCAGCTTCTCCTTCTTAGAAATAAAATGTCCAAAGGTTAATAGCATATATGGCTTGACAGCCAGAAACTTTATTTCCCATCCTCCCTTGCAACTAATTGTGGCCATGTTCTTGCACATTGTCTCCTATTTCTATTAGAGCCCTTAGCATTTTAATCATATATATATATTAAACTTCTGGTCTGATCATTCCAACACCCCTGTCATAGCTGAGTCTGCTTCTGGTACTGGCTCTATCTTTTTGAACTGTGTTTTTTGGCCTTTAGTATGTCGCGTCTCTTTTTTTTTTTTTTTTTCCTTTGTCAAAAGCTGGACACATACGGGGCAAAAGGACCTGCTGCAAATGGGCCAGAGTGATATGGCAGTATATGGAGGGAGGAAAAGCATTCAGTCCTATAATTAGACTGTGAGTCTCACCAATGCTTCTCAGATTGTACCCCACTTAGGTGGGCCAGGATGGCTACGAAAGGCTGAGTTGCGTATTTCCCTTCCCTTCCCTTCCCTTCCCTTCCCTTCGGTCAGTTAGGCTCTGGCAAAACCCTAATAGGTGGGGCCTGGTAAGGGTTATTCTTGAGGGCAGGCCTAGTTAAGAACAGGATACCCTGGCCGGGCGAGGTGGCTCAAGCCTGTAATCCCAGCACTTTGGGAGGCCGAGAAGGGTGGATCACGAGGTCAAGAGATCGAGACCATCCTGGTCAACATGGTGAAACCCCGTCTCTACTAAAAATACAAAAAATTAGCTGGGCGTGGTGGCGCGTGCCTGTAATCCCAGCTACTTGGGAGGCTGAGGCAGGAGAATTGCCTGAACCCGGGAGGTGGAGGTTGCGGTGAGCCGAGATCGCGCCATTGCACTCCAGCCTGGGTAACAAGAGTGAAACTCTGTCTCCAAAAAAAAAAAAAACAGGATACTCTGGGCATATTTCAAAATGGCCACCTTCCCCTCCCGCTGCCAGAAGCATGATGAGATTTTTCTCTGTGAGAACCTGGTTGAGCTCCTGAAGGTAAAGCTTAACAACAGTATAGGAGCCCCTCTAAGACTGCCCCCACCCCGGAATTTTAACTCTCAGACTTGTCCACACTGAGTCTCCAGCAATTCAGCAATTGCAGTTCAGGTGTTCCTATGCCAGCACTGCTGAGTTGTGATTCTCTGTGCCCACCTGTCTCCCCAGTTTTGGGAGCAGCAGTTAGCCCAGTGATTTCAATTCTCTGATAAATCTAAGAGGCGTTGTTGATTTTAAGTGTGTTCCACTTTTACTTGTTCTTAGGACAGACTGATGACTTCTGGCCTCCTGACACACTGGACCAGAAACAGAAACTCTCCTGGGTCAGTTTCTATTGGGTGATTTTTCTTCTCATGATGGCTCACATTTTTTATGCCTCTTCTGCCTCAGTCAGAAAGCCAGGACATAGGGCTCACCTAGTCTGTTTTCTTTCTCTCGGGAACCACAGTCCTTCACTGGTTGCTGTCCCCCATCTGAAAACAATGGATTTCATATATTTGGCCCAGTTTCTAGCTGTTTCTGGTGAGACAGTAATTCTGAACCCTGTTATTCCCTCACATTAAGCATTAAGCAAAATAAGTAGATTAAATTATCCAGTTAGGATTTTTAAAAATCCACCTATAAGCTGTTTACAAGAGATGCATTTAAAGGGTAGGACCAGAAAGGGCTGGAAAAGCAGCACTGCTTAATGCTTTTTGAATCTATTTTTAACATATTATATTATACTTCCTACGTATTCCAATGTTTCTGTTTCTTTATTTCCCTTATTTGACTTTTTTTTGATTAGTGGATATTTGCCTTCATTATTTGCTATTTTCCTCTACTAGTTTGGAAGTAGTACACCCTATTTATATTCCAGTTACTCTAAAAAAATTTAACATGCATATTTGTCTTAAAAAAAAAAAAAAAAAACGTAAAGTCACTCAATGTCAATATGGCCATCAGGGAATAACAGGGTTCAGAATTACTGTCTCACCAGAAACAGCTAGAAACTGGGCCAAATATATGAAATCCATTGTTTTCAGATGGGGGACAGCAACCAGTGAAGGACTGTGGTTCCCGAGAGAAAGAAAACAGACTAGGCGAGCCCTATGTCCTGGCTTTCTGATTGAGGCAGAAGAGGCATAAAAATGCGAGCCGTATGCATCGCTTGAGCCCAGGAGTTCAAGACCACTCTGGGAAGCATGGCAAAACCCCATCTCTACAAAAAATAGAGAAAATTAGCCAGGCGTGATGGTGCACACCTATAGTCCCAGCTACTTAGGAGGCTGCAGCAGGAGGATTGCCTGAGCTCAGGAGGTGGAGGTTGCAGTAAGCTGTGATCACACCAGTGCACTCTAGCCTGGGTGACAGAGCAAGACCCTGTCTCAAAAAAAAAAAAAAAAAAAAAAAGTGACCTATAATGAGAAGAAAAATTGGCCAATGAAAACAGACCCAAAGGAGTTTCAGTTTCTGGTCCAGCATGTAAGGAGCCCGGAAGTCACCAGTTTGTCCTAATAACAAATAAAAGCAGAACAGACTGAAAACTGAACACATATTTTGATATGTGTAATTGGAGGCTCTGAACAAGAGGAGAAAGAGAAAGGGGCAGAATAAATATTTGAGGAAATAATGGCTAAACACTTCCAATGTTTGGTGAAAAAGATTCATCAGATCCAAGAAATTCTGTTAACCTCAAATAACATAAACACAAAGAGAGCCACACATAGACACTTCATGGTTAAATGATTGAAAGCCAAAGACAGACAATTTTGCAAATATTATTGCAGGAGAAAAAATAACCCATATAGAAAGGAAACACAACAAAATTAACATCTGACTTCTCATCAGAAACAATGGAGGCCAGAAGGGAGTGGAAGAACAAAAGTGTTGGAAGAAA